ACAAGCTTCAAATATCAGCTTTTCACTCATGCTAATTACTTCCAATTTAGATGTAGACAAACAACAACTTTAGAATGTGACTAATAATTGTCAAGATGAACTTAAAGTCAAAACTGAAGTAATGAACTTGGCAAGAACTATGAAACTGAAATACCAAATTAACACTAAAGAGACTTGATCAAGATATCTGATATTCAGACAATATTTGACCTTCTACATTATAGTCGTTTTTATTTCATTAATCAAATAATATGGAAAAGTTTTCTTAACAATGTCTACTTGAAATTAAGTCTGTTACATAAGTAACTATGAAATATTATCCTATTCTATATATATATATATATATATATATATATATATATATATATATATATATATATATATATATATATATATATATATATATATATACATATACCAGCCTCCTAAACAAATTTTATATATTGCCATATTTCTTAAGAAAAAAAAGTCTGACAATAAACAGATGTTAAATTTCAAATAAGTTTCCAGTCTGGTTTATCCAACCCCCTCTCATCAGCCTGGCTATCGAGTGAAAACTCAGCTGATAGCTGATCATATGGTTAAGTTGCTAGTTTGCAACTTGGTACTAGTGATATTTCTCCAATTAAGATTTAAATCATGACACAGTCTGTGTGACAATTTTATTTTTGGTGAATATTTAAGCATGGTGCTATAACACATGCACTGTGCCTCTAGAGAACACAAAAAAAGGTGAGGATGCTCTCATAATGCACATGAGAGGGTTAACCCTCTCAAGCACGAAGTAAATTTCTTTGGCCTTAGAGCAGCACACAAGGATGTTTTTGTTTTTTATTTCTTTGTTATCCCTAAAATTTCCTTAGGTGGTATAAACCCTATATAATATCAGAATTAATACATATAAAATGCCTGTAGCCAAATAAAACAAGGTCTATACCTTCATTCAGACTGTGTGTGAATCCCATCCAAACTAAATAGCTAATGAATGAAATCCCTCCTACAGCATTAACAACCTGGGCATCAACAAAAATCTATTCGTGTTTGTGTAAGTGTGTGTGGATAAGTGTAGAAGTGTGTAGTAAGTGTAGGGGTGTGTCCATGCAGGAGTGAGTATAAAGATTCTGCAACAGAGAGTAGACAGTGTGGTGTAATCTTGTGTGTACAAGTGTGCGCATGTGTGGTGTAAATTTAGGTAAGTCTGGTATTTTAGTCTCTTCATCACTCACACCCTCAAGATCACTATCCACATCATCTGCACTGTCTTAGTACATGTCCTTTTGGTATTGTTCTTCTTTCAACTAAATTTGCTTGACATTTCAACTGTAGTAGACCTATAACTGGATATAAGAAAAAAATCTACATATATAAATAATAAAAAGCATCACACAGTAGGCACTTCATGTCAATATTCTTACTAATGCATAAATTGAGAGAACCATGACAAAAACAGGATGTAATATTCAAAAGGACAGTATACGCAAAGCAGCCTTACTGCTGAGACAAAAACAGCATTACTGGCAAATGTGCAATTGAGCAATTAGGTCTATGCAATCACAAAGTTTCAAGCAGATCTAATAGATACTAAATATATCATCATAAACATTGTCCCTTAATTAATTTTGATGCAATTCCTGTCAAAATGCTGAAAGGGATTACTATATCTTATGTAGGCAACATGTAAAACTCAAACATTCAAAAAAAAAAAAAAAAAAAAAAAAAAAAAAAAAAAAAATAATAATAATAATAATAAAAAAATAAATAAATAAATAAATAAAAATCAAAAAATTAAATCTGCAACATTGGGTGCTCAGATTTAAATCGGTTTGTGGAAAATAAACTACAGAAAAATTAATAAAAACAACTTAAGGATTTCATCCCCTTCAAGCAAATGCTAAAATTAGAATAAAAAATATTGAGAATATTATAAATTATCTAAATGCTAGTTATTCAGAAATTAGAAGAATCTAAAGAAAGTTTTGTTACTACCATATTATAATCATTAAGTTAATTATATTTTTTTCACACTTTTCCATGGGTTAATAGCCATGTGTCACAATGGTATGACATACATGCCATGCCCACAGTAATTTTAGTGTATTAATTGTATTTACACATAGATGGCTCTACAAGTACTAGTCCTACCTTCACCCATTTGTCTACAGGTTGTGTTACAGAAAATTAAATGTTATGAATAATAATAATAAATAAAGTGTTACTTATTGTTGTTATTACTGCACTGAGTTACAGACTACCTAGAGAGATGATATAGTCTGTGCACAGAAGACAATCTATTACCATCTGGATAAAGTAAATCTAATGACAAATACAGACAGTGGAAAATGGAAAAAAAGCTAAAAATGCTTCAGAAAAAAAAAACAAAAAAAAAACATTGCAATGGAAAGAGATGCAGTCTTGTCATCACATACAAGAGTTTGTGTGTTCCCTGCTTACAAGACCCACTACCATCAGAGTGGCTGCTCAGGTAAGCCTAATGCCCAAATTTTGGGCCACATGATGGCAGCAAAATATCTGAATCCAATGCACTTGAAATAACACTTGAAAGAAATATCATTTGAAAGGAACATTCTTCCTAAAAAAAATCAAGGAATTGGGAAATCAGGTGAGGCTATGTATGGGCTACTTATTGACTTGCTGTCTGAGCATTTGTGGAGCCAACTGTGTGCAACAAAATTCATGAAAAAAACAAGTGGACAGCTAATGGATTAATCCAATTGTAATTTACTTTTTTTTATTCATTATAGTAGTCCTTAATTTGTTATATGCTTCACAAGAGTTCTGCACTTTAACTTCTTTGTGTGCCTCCTGAGAGCATTTGAATTTAGCGAACATTTAGGATGATTTTTTCATCTAATTTTATATGCTTCTCCGTAGTCCCTATCATCTCTTCCACTACTACATGGCATCCCCTAAGCATATCAGTTCTCTATGTAGTACCATAGCAGCTGCCTGTTAGCTATGCAGTTTTGTTAAGGTTAATGATGAAACTATGGTAACCCTGGGATGTTATACTTCAGCTATGTATTCAAATTTCAATTTCATTCACATCAAATTCTCAGATATCCCTCCCCAAGAGATTGCTTTACAAAATTAAATTGTACTAAGTATGCTAAATATTTCCATATTGACTTCAGAGTATCAGAAGATTGAAATACAGAAATTAACATGCAGAATTAGGTAAAACAGAATAAGCAAAAAGGAAATTAAGAATCAACTAAACGATGCAATAAAGAAAGAAAGAAAAGAGGAGACAAACATGCAAAAACACACAGTTTAACAAACATGTGTGTATTTATGTTTAATGTATATATATTAAAGTTATTGCCAAGATAATAAAGGATTAAATTTATATGTATCTTCAAACACTCCCCCATCATTATCATGTCTAGATGTTTAGTTTAAAAGTGTAAATTTGTTGATTTAATGTGGTTCTGTCACTCTTGAACATACATATCCACTTATCTGTTACAAGACACCCATGGCTAAAATGACCCTCATCTTCTCAGGTTCTTTCATTATTAGTCACTTGAGTATCTGAAGCCAATGATGGGGATTCATTGGACATTCTCTACTTACTTTTGATTACATTTACAGCATGGTTTGAGGTCCTCCTTGGGTATTCAACATTTGCAAATATTTGAACTTTGTAATTCACCACTGAACTATTCTACTTTTACTTTTCAAGACTGCATTATAGTATGCATTCTCCTTAGATGAAGAATAAAGGCCTACTAAAAATCTTAAAATAATATTAATGAAAAGAAGAAAAAAAATATATATAATAAAATAAGGTCTTTCCCCCCACCAGTCCTTTTGTCTAATTTCACCTACACTCTAGATGTCTTCATATCTATGTTTGATAGGAACATACGAGTGCCTTCTTAAAATACTAAAGCTTCAGAGTTTAACTCCATTTACCTTCTCATCTCCTTCCAGTCAGTATGAATGATACTTCTTGTGTCTGCCTCCCCTAATATATGCATACAAAATGATAGGAGAGCTCAAGCTACATAAAAGCTGAAACTTTGGTCTTGTAATTCTTTAACAATAATCAAAATACGTAATCACCAAATAATAGTTCTTACTCATTCAGGTAACTAGTCATTACCT